AGCGTGGCCGAGCGCACCGTGGTACAGGAACTTATGTTTCCTGTACCCGGCGGACAGGAAGTGCTCGCTCTGTGAGCACTTCATTTCCGGCCGCCCGGGTACAGGAAACATAAGTTCCTGTACCGCGGTGCGCTCGGCCACGCTACACAGAGTGTCTGGCAGGAGGGAGCGCTGTGCGCTATGCGCTCACCTCCTGCCGGTCACTCCGGCTTTGCGCCCGCCGGGCCGGTGCACCCTAAGGCGGCCACTTGTGCCGCCTTATGGATGCGCCGGCGGAGCGCACCCTCCCTCCCTCCGGCGACCTATGGCCGCGTGCCCGCAGAGTGGGCTCGGCGTGCCACCTGTGGCACGCGTGCCATAGGTTCGCCACCACTGGTTTAGACAGTACTTCTTGATCCCTCTAAACATAGCTTTGTCTCGTTATTGGAGGGAGCTGTTATAATCACGCTGGGGATTGCTATGCTCTGCATTCTCCCTTGAGCTTTTAATCACTTAGCTCTTTTAAGAGCTGTTCATGATAGGTCTTCCCCACACAGTCCTGGATGCTGGAGGTTCATACAGGGTGGAAGGAAGAGGTCTTTCCCACATGGAGAACAGAAGCTGATTCAGGGTGGAAGGAAGACGGCGAGACTCCAGTCAAGCTATGGCGGTTGCAGAGTCTGCGGTGGTTGTTGTGTCTGCTGCAGTGCTTGGAGTCCTCAGGAAGCACTAGGAGCATCCTTCAACGGAGGTACCCAGTCGGGGTGCCAGGTGATCCGTTACAAGATCTATCATATTTATAATCACTTTTCACTAGGAATGCACCAAAATTTCCGCTGCCAAAATTTTCAGCTAAAAATGGGCCTATCCCATTTCGGCGGAAAAAGTCAAATCGGCCGAAAATTACAACCCCCTTCCCCTTAGCCCATTACCCTCTACCCCCCCCCCACCCCTCCTCTCCATGGCTAGTAGCCCACTGAGCTCCTCTCCAGTGCTCTCTATGATTATCGCTGTTAGTGATGTGTCCCTCCTGTATCGGTGTCACAGTATGACAGCCAATGACCGCCTCTGCTCGGAGGGCTGTTGCTATTAGTGACGGGACACGTGCAACATATCCTGGCACATCCCATCGTCTCGCGGGACCCTGCAATGTTTCAGGCTGCGGTTGAGCTCTCCTCCGTCCTGTTCTTGGGAATAGCCGAGTTATCGCGATGTTTCAGATCTTCTCTGTCCTGTTCTCGGAGTTGGCTCAAGATCTCGCAGTGTTTCCTTAAAGCGGCCGGCAGGATCTCCCGAGGTGAGTGCGGAATGCTGCTGGCGGACAGCATGCAGGAAATGGAGCCCGGAGCAATGCCGGAGAAACATGTCTGAAGCAGTAAGCTAAACCCTGCAGTACTGCATTTAGTTTAATGCAGAGCACTTCCAACTTTCCTTGAATAGGTGTCTGGTGTCCAATGGACCACAACTGAGTACTTAAATTTGGGGAGTGGGGAGGAGGCACTCCTAGCACCATAACCATTACAGTACTCTAGAGGTAAGGGTGCTTGGAATGTTCCCTTTAAAGTAGTTTCCAATTATAGCTTTTCTTCTGCATTCATAGCCTTTGAGGATTGACGATGGGTAGCTTAGAAATATGCAATGGTAATAAACTATCAATCAAATTATGTGTGATGAAAGTACAGAGTATTCAATAGGCTTCTTCTCCAGGCATGGCTTCTAGTTACTGTTACTCAGTCTATACAAATAATGTAAACACGTTTTACTATAGCTACAAAAACTGATTGACAGATGAACAGTTTTTACAAGATTGCTTATCTAAGGAGAGTGCAATGAGTATGTAATTAAAAGAACACTCCCAAGCACCATAACAACTACACTTTTAAAGTGGAACTATCACTTCCATAGAAATGTCAATGCATTGATTAAAGGAAAACTTTAAGCACCATAACTATTACAGCCCACCCCGCTCTAGTGGTTTTCATGCCAGGTGTGCCCTGGCATGTTCCCAGGGTTCGTAGTCAAATCACTTGTGAAGCTAGAAGCCCCTGCAAGAAGTATCCGTTAGCCCTATTGTGCTAAGCCCTGCCATGCACAGTTGGCTCATTGGTTTAGTGCTTCAGTTTAGCACATTATATCCTTAATACAGTGATAGTATTATTATACCCTTCATACAGTGATAGTATTATTATTATATCCTGCATACATTGATAGTATTATTATTATATCCTGCATACATTGATAGTATTATTATGATATCCTTCATACAGTGATAGTATTATTATATCCTTCATACAGTGATAGTATTATTATATCCTTCATACAGTGATAGTATTATTATTAAATCCTTTATACAGTGATTATATCCTTCATACAGTGATAGTATTATATCCTTCATACATAGTGATAGTATTATGATATCCTTCATACATACAGTGATAGTATTATTATGATATCCTTTCTACAGTGATAGTATTTTTTTTTTTATATAAATCTTTTTATTGAGAATTTTGTGCAATTCGCGGAACTGATCATCAATTAGTGATAGGTACAAACATTTGCAACTTAGTGGACGCGCAGGTCCAACCTGGTCATAACATAGTACTTGCAGTTACATCGGCAGTTCATTGGTCATGCTATCGGCTCATAACTAGCACCGTACATAATACAAAACTATTCGCCTCCGCCTGTCTTCATTGTGCATAACTATAGGCCGCCCTTTAGAGCGGAATGCACAGCGCATAATTAGAGAGGACAGAATAGGCAAGACAGGTGTCTGGCGGACTCGCAGGTCCAGTTAGGAGGCACCTGTACTCGTTCCGTAGCCTACTTCAGCTCTAGCTCCTAGTGAACTTGTGTGTATGCCTTGTATCAGATATCGCTTGTGGCTGCGTTATGAGCGTCAGCAGATTAGTCATATTCTGTACCAGCTACAGTTAGTGGCAGTGTCTATTGTATTGTATGTTGCGTAATATCGTCTGCTTGTCTAGCCTTGTGCGGGAGTTACCGCGCCTTATCTGATAGTAAAGAGATAAGCATAGATTTGCGCTTTATTGGTCTCCTAGTCCCTATCTCCTAATATAGTTTTCCGTCCAGGGTCGCGATGCAGCGTACCGGCCTTGTTATTATGTGATCTCTGTGAAAGTGTGCATGTTTCGTGCGTGGTACATCGCATGGTACCTGTATGGTATATGCGTCCACATTTCTAGAATCGCGGAGGCATAGTATCCTAGTATGATGATAAGATTTGGTCTATGTCTACTCCATGCAGAGTGCATAGTAGTGAAAGGATAGATCAGAAATGGTAGAGAAGGCAAGAAGGAGAGAGTGACTGAGAGGGCTGCGTCCAGAAGGATACCCCACTCTGTTGCGCCCCCAGCACAATACAGTAGTAGTAGTATTATTATATCCTTCATATAGGGATATTAAGATTATTATAACCATCATGTAGTGATAGTATTATTATATCCTTCATACAGTGATAGTATTGATATCCTTCATACATACAGTGATAGTATTATATCCTTCATACATACAGTGATAGTATTGATATCCTTCATACATACAGTGATAGTATTATATCCTTCATACATACAGTGATAGTATTATATCCTTCATACAGTGATAGTATTATATCCTTCATACAGTGATAGTATTATGATATCCTTCATACAGTGATAGTATTATATCCTTCATACAGTGATAGTAGTAGTATTATTATATCCTGTGTAGAGTGATAGTATTATATCATTCATACAGTAATATTATTATTATTATATCCTTCTTAGAGATAGTAGTATTATTTTTTTTAATTATATCCTTCATACAGTAGTAGTATTATTATATCCTTCATATAGGGATATTAAGATTATTATAACCATCATGTAGTGATAATATTATTATATCCTTCATACAGTGATAGTATTATTATAACCATCATTTACTGATAGTATTATTATATCCTTCATACAGTGATAGTATTATTATATCCTTCATAAAGTGATAGTATTGATATCCTTCATAAAGTGATAGTATTGATATCCTTCATACAGTGATAGTATTATGATATCCTTCATACAGTGATAGTAGTAGTATTATATCATCCTTCATACAGTGATAGTATTATATCATCCTTCATACAGTGATAGTAGTATTATTATTACATCCTGTGTAGTGATAGTATTATATCCTTCATACAGTAATATTATTATCCTTCGTAGAGATAGTATTATTTTTTTTAATTATATCCTTCATACAGTTGTCGTAGTAGTATTATTATATCCTTCATATAGGGATATTAAGATTATTATAACCATCATGTAGTGATAGTATTATTATATCCTTCATACAGTGATAGTATTATTATAACCATCATTTACTGATCGTATTATTATATCCTTCATACAGTGATAGTATTATATCTTTCATACAGTGATAGTATTATTATTATTATATCTTTCATACAGTGATAGTATTATTATATCCTTCATATAGGGATATTAAGATTATTATAACCATCATGTAGTGATAGTATTATTATATCCTTCATACAGTGATAGTATTATTATAACCATCATTTACTGATCGTATTATTATATCCTTCATACAGTGATAGTATTATATCTTTCATACAGTGATAGTATTATTATTATTATATCTTTCATACAGTGATAGTATTATTATATCCTTCATATAGGGATATTAAGATTATTATAACCATCATGTAGTGATAGTATTATTATATCCTTCATACAGTGATAGTATTATTATAACCATCATTTACTGATCGTATTATTATATCCTTCATACAGTGATAGTATTATATCTTTCATACAGTGATAGTATTATATCTTTCATACAGTGATAGTATTATTATTATTATATCCTTCATACAGTGATAGTATTATTATATCCTTCATACAGTGATAGTATTATTATATCTTTCATACAGTGATAGTATTATTATATCTTTCATACAGTGATAGTATTATTATATCCTTCATACAGTGATAGTATTATTATACCCTTCATACAGTGATAGTATTATTATACCCTTCATACAGTGATAGTATTATTATATCCTTCATACAGTGATAGTATTATTATATCCTTCATACAGTGATAGTATTATATCCTTCATACAGTGATAGTATTATATCCTTCATACAGTGATAGTATTATTATATCTTTCATACAGTGATAGTATTATATCCTTCATACAGTGATAGTATTATATCCTTCATACAGTGATAGTATTATATCCTTCATACAGTGATAGTATTATTATCCTTCATACAGTGATAGTATTATATCTCATACAGTATAGTATTATATCTCTATACAGTGATAGTATTATTATATCTCATACAGTGATATATCCTTCATACAGTGATAGTATTATTATATCTCACAGTGATGGTATATTATATCCTTCATACAGTGATAGTATTATATCCTTCATACAGTGATAGTATTATATCTTTCATACAGTGATAGTATTATTATATCCTTCATACAGTGATAGTATTATATCCTTCATACAGTGATAGTATTATTATATCCTTCATACAGTGATAGTATTATTATATCTTTCATACAGTGATAGTATTATTATATCCTTCATACAGTGATAGTATTATATCCTTCATACAGTGATAGTATTATATCCTTCATACAGTGATAGTATTATTATATCCTTCATACAGTGATAGTATTATTATATCCTTCATACAGTGATAGTATTATTATATCCTTCATACAGTGATAGTATTATATCCTTCATACAGTGATAGTATTATTATATCCTTCATACAGTGATAGTATTATTATATCCTTCATACAGTGATAGTATTATTATATCCTTCATACAGTGATAGTATTATATCCTTCATACAGTGATAGTATTATATCCTTCATACAGTGATAGTATTATTATATCTTTCATACAGTGATAGTATTATATCCTTCATACAGTGATAGTATTATATCCTTCATACAGTGATAGTATTATATCCTTCATACAGTGATAGTATTATTATATCCTTCATACAGTGATAGTATTATTATATCCTTCATACAGTGATAGTATTATTATATCCTTCATACAGTGATAGTATTATATCCTTCATACAGTGATAGTATTATTATATCCTTCATACAGTGATGGTATTATTATATCCTTCATACAGTGATAGTATTATATCCTTCATACAGTGATAGTATTATATCTTTCATACAGTGATAGTATTATTATATCCTTCATACAGTGATAGTATTATATCCTTCATACAGTGATAGTATTATTATATCCTTCATACAGTGATAGTATTATATCCTTCATACAGTGATAGTATTATTATATCCTTCATACAGTGATGGTATTATTATATCCTTCATACAGTGATAGTATTATATCCTTCATACAGTGATAGTATTATTATATCCTTCATACAGTGATAGTATTATATCCTTCATACAGTGATAGTATTATTATATCCTTCATACAGTGATAGTATTATTATTTTTTCCAGTTTCATATAGACTTTAATGGAGTTGGAAATGTAACCAGACAGAGCATTGGTAAACCTACCAATCAAATGTAATTTATTTAGCCTTTACTGTGTTGCATATAATTTTCTAGGATTATACTTTATTTGGATAATTCGTCGTGTTCGTTTTCGACCACAGTGATAAAGCTGATTCAACCTTGACATAAGAACAAAATGGGTAGCTTCGAATATCTAATGGGAAAACATACTGGACATAGTGTGATAAAGTAATGTCCCAGTGAACACGCATTATGTAAGTTGTGCTCACAAGAGCGTAAGTAGAATCAGGCCCATCATCCTTAAATCAGGTAAATGAGATTAATCTGCTCCGAGATGTAGATAATCTTCTTAAACTTCAAGAAAAGCAGAAAGCAAAAATAGTGCAGCTTGTATAAAACAAATATTTATTAAGATTGCATTTGCAAAATAGATGATAAAATAGGCTTGCCTCCACTCCCAGTGGATATGGATGCTACTGATGATAAACTTGTCTGGCGACTGATGTACTAATGGCACTGCTGCAGGTGGAGTTATACCTCCAACAATATAAAATATCTCTGTATCTGCAGCTTTATAATATGAAACTCTGCGCATACAAACTCCAGGCACTATGACCACTTCAAATGACTGAAATGGTTGTGGTGCTTGGAGTAACGCTGTTCATTGTGTATTGATGGATTTGCATTCTAAGAATGGGATTAAGGCTGGTTTCTGTGCTTTGTGTGTGTGTTTTATAACATTTTTGCAGTGAGAAGGTTCCTGTTATCTCTGCAGGCGCAAGTTCAATTAACTTGGGTTTATGGAATTAATTTACCAAAAATGTACTAATTGCATAATTATACAGGCACCATAACCACTTGGCGGTAAGGGTTATAGTGCTTGGAATGTCCCTTTTGTCATTATGCCTACTTTATGGAAGTGTGTATAAAAGTTAAATCTTTCAGTATGAATTTAAAAATCAATTCTCAGTTTTAAAGTTAGATCTACAAGTTTAATGTAAGAGCTATCTTATTGTCATTGTGATGAAGGGAGGATGTCCATTGATAGAATAATGTAGGCTGAAGTTCCAGATATCTGCATGTGAGAAGCTGGGGATAGTTTATGGGATACATTTATTTTCATGGTGCTGTATTCCACACTCCATCATAATGAACCTGTTGCAAATATGTTTTTTATGAAACATTTGCTGAACTGCTTTTTCATTTTTATATAGTGTGGAGCGGTATGACCCAAGTAAAGATTCCTGGGAGATGGTGGCATCAATGGCTGATAAAAGAATTCATTTTGGTGTCAGCGTGATGTTGGGCTTCATTTTTGTTGTTGGGGGTCACAATGGTGTGTCTCACCTATCGAGTATCGAGAGGTACGATCCCCATCAAAACCAATGGACTGTTTGCCGGCCTATGAAGGAACCCAGAACAGGTGAGAAGTATTAAATATTGATGTATTTGGACACTGTTTAAAAACCTGTCTTATTTACATATGAAAATAGCCGCAATGAGAAATGTGATGCAAGAGTGTAGATAAATTGCTTCCCTGATGTTTACATTGTGCTATGTGCAGTAACATGCATCCTTCAGTATTTGGATGTGCACAGTACTTGCTGTAATATTCATTATCATTTTTGACCAGATTTTGCTGACCGATATTTTTGAATCTGTATGATTTGGAATAACTCTTGAGTCACTTGCCAATTTTTTTTTTCTTCTTCACCAGCCTAAAGTTTATTCCAAATTATCGGTATGTAGGAGCACGCAACTCACCATAGACCAGACCATCAAACAAGATATACTACAATGTGCAAATCTAGATGCATTGTGAAGATATAAAATAAATAGGACTGACTGCACATTAAAATATGCAAAATACTTTTTATTCTCTTTAAACAAACTCAAACCGTGTAAAAAAAATAAAAAAATAAATAAAAAATCTTACATAGTGAGACTATTGTTATAGCTGGTAATAGCCATAAATGCCCCGTAATTTACCATGACATGTACAGAGGTACTCCATCAAAAGCAGAAAAACAAACTAACAAAATAATAAAAAATCCTAACAGAAAATCAAGCAATTCTTGTCTGTGTATAGTATGAGCTTTACAAAGACAATTAGGATGGATCCCTTTATAAAGGCTACTTGTAGCCGCTGGAAGGTCAGGTGACTTTTCTCCGGTTCATCATTTGTAAAGGTAACAATTGATACAAACCAGTATCGCTTTGATTTTATGCTAGAAAATGTTTAATTTGCTATAAACAGAAGTACCCATTTATGTAATTTCCTAGAGAATTACCCCTTGTGCAACCAGCAAAAATGAAATATTGAGAGTGTGTTTTTTGTCTTTACACAGGTGTTGGCGCTGCTGTCATTGATAACTACATCTACGTTGTGGGTGGACATTCTGGGTCATCTTATCTTAACACTGTGCAGAAATATGACCCTATTTCTGACACGTGGGTGGACTTGGCAGGAATGGCATATTCTCGCTGCAATTTTGGTCTCACTGCTCTATGATGGAAAGCGTGAACACAAGCACAGTGTATGATTCTATCGCTGCATGAGAGAGCGTACAGGGGTTTTCAAGCCAGGCATGGCTCCCAAAAGGATTGGAGACAGGCGGAGGGTCAGTTCTAAAAAGAATGGTTATTCCTAGTCAATGACTTTCAGCCAGCATGACCACATGTCCCCAAAATTACTGCAGTAAAATGTAGACAAAAGTAAGAGTGTTAAATAAATGTCTTAGTTGCAATTAGAGGTTGCGAGGATTCATTGTACATTGTCAAACCTCAACATTTTAGTTTATAAAAAAAATGTTCTGGTGCTTTAAAAAAACAACTTGAAAATAACAGTTTATTTTAGAGCATTAAGCAAAAAAAATATGTAAAGGGATTGCAGTAAGTTCTGAGATGGGACCATACTGTCCCTTTAATTTACAAGCAGTTTCTAAAAGATGCATCTCGCACAGCATTAAGTATCTGAATGCAGCCCTGCAGCGTGCATTTTCCATAAGAGGACCTAGGAGGTGAATTATGGACACTTATCTGGAACAGATGCTCTGATAGTTTTCAGTTATCCTACATGTGCAACAGTTTCCGGAAATGTTGAGAGGTTCTGGTTTCATTTTCAGCACGTTTTCTCTCTGATCTCTGGGTTACGCTGCAAGGTTTTTTTTTGACCAGGAAACAAATTAATTAATTGCGCTGTCACATGCATCATACAGCCAAACAGCTCCACTGTGTCAGTTTGGCTAATAAAATACACAATTGTCAGCATGGCCTATGCGACCGCAATATTCAATGTGTTTTAAAAGAAAACCCTTCTTTCACAGTATGATATTTACCCAAAACACATCTCTTGTCAGTGAAGTGCACAATGTTAAATCTGTAATCTGCGGAAAACCATGCATTTAACATGGGCAATATGGTGCCCCAGCCCTGACTTTAACATTAATCAACTGGAATTTAAAGACTGCAACACTGGGGCTCCCTTGTGCTAAAACAGGGAGATCAGAAATGTTTGCCAGCAGCTAAAAGAGAAACTACTTTGTTTAATATTAAGATGGGATCCGTTTCTGGCTGCTTCATCAAGGCAGTAAACCTTGCAGGCAGTTAGATTTTAATTTTATTTTTCATTTTACATTTGCAATATGTATTATTACATAGGAATCTATGATGCACATTTCTGAAAAACCACAGGAATCTAGGAGTTACGCCTGAATTATATAAACTTCCTATGGGAATAGAAAAAGTTTTAATGGTAGATGTTAGTGTTCAGTTAATGTAGCCATTCTAGATCTGAATCCATGCAAGGCCTCATTCACTTGGTACAATGTTATACCAATTCATGGTCTAATAATTTACTGGGAGCTGGCTAAAGTCTATTATAAGAAACAAGCGTGCCTCTGGTAATTGAGTAGATGTCAGTGGAAGAATATTTAATTACCAGCATTCACCAACTCAGCTATTTTTTTTCCAAATTATTTATTTTTGGTTAACATTTTGCATTCATTTTCCATCATTCATGAGTCCTAGTTTAGTGAATTCATCCAAAAGTCTCTTGCTTTGTTTTAGAATTTTTGAACAAAGCAAGTATTGTTAGTATAACTTTTATTCTTATAACCTAACGTTTTTAACAATTCTTCAATTTAAAATGCAAGAAAGTGAGTTATTGGTGTAGATGTTCCATACATGTAGCTTGTTTCACTACTGACATTGGAACAATTCGTGTCAGGGGTTTACTGATGTGACTCAATATGCAGAGATTAGCAAGTCCTTGCAGTGTTGCCACTTACTGGAAGACATGGTTATGTGACTGGGCAACCACAATGCTGAATGGCCGCACAGGGGCTTTCTGTTTAAAATAACCGCTCAAACAAAGTCCAAAAATAGTAGACCTCATACAATAGGTTTGTACAGGGGGCATAGTTTCATAGTTGGTGATAAAGGCTGGAGTTTTTATTACAATATAAACAAACTGGTAGCATAGACTGTGATAGCATGCACAGGGATGTCTGAGTGATGCTCTAGTGCACTAAGAGGCCTTATGTAGGAGAGAGATTGTTGAACATGCCAGCTCCTTTACCCGTCCGCATCACCAGCATCTTCAAAATCCACCCGTGTCCACTGCCTTATTTGGGGATAAAAGCAGGGTGAGTGTGTTATTGCCGTGTGACTAGATGGAATCGCTAGTACAAACCTTGATGTGGATGCTTTGGAATAGCTTCCGCCACTTGGATAGTGGCATGGAGAGAGACCGACAAGGACAGTCTACCTCTCCAGATCTGGTATGTAACACTGGTAGGGCATTGAAGATGGTGGCAAGGTGGTTGAAGCACTAGTAGGGCATCTTCCATCCTTAGACCAGTATGATTTGTGGTTTTGTCTGACCGAAGCAATAAGAGTATACTGCATTTATTAAGTCTTGATACATTTTTCTTTATTCCCGTGTAATTTCATAGTAACACCACATACAACTTGCACATGTCATTAGCTAATGAAGATGTTCTTTTATTTCACACTAAAGGCATATAAGCTATCACCTAAACAATAAAAATGAAACTGTATCCACTTATCCTCAATTAGCAACAATGTGCCCTAAATGTATTTATTTTGTTTTACTCCCTGTGAAATACACTTGCTTTGAGACTTTTTTTTTTTTTCAATATTAACCAATCTGTCATTCATGATTGTCAATGAAACTCTGACCATGTGAATGAGGCCTAAGTTACACTCCAGAGATGCGCATGGGCTTCTAAACATTGGTAATGTCTCCTTCAAACTCGTACATCAGCAGTTGAATTACAGCACTGCATTGCTCTTCATTTAGTAATTTGTACTTTGTGAAACTGGTCTCCAACTCAAAACGAACATTCGTTAATCACATTTGGCTCCCCCCACCCCCTCTTTCTGTATACTGTGCTGACTAGATGGGGCAACGATAGAGTGTGCAGTGATATAGACATTCCTTTGTATAGAAAATATGAAAAATCAGTGCTTCTCAATTTTATATTTAACAAAAGGGCTGCTTTTTCCTGTGACTCAAGATTTGTGAATAGTAAATGCCATAGTTTACTGCCTGTTTCATGTTACTTTTGAAATGTTTTAGGGCTGGTTTATTTACAGTAATAACTTTATAAGAAAACAGACCCTACCGTATGTATAGAGAGGTTTTACTTATTAGAAATGTAACAAAAAAACATAATTCTTCAGAGTAGAGTGTAGCCAAATCTGCATTTCACAGTGTATCAGGTTTAAATGTAAATTGACCTATCTATCTCATGCAGTTGGCCACAGGATTTGGGACTGGTCTATACAACCTGTATATTGTTCTAGCAGACGTCCATCCGCATGTAGGATTTAAAATGACTCTTCCCGTCTGTCACACCATTGCGGTGGTCAAAGACAGATGGGAATAACCCCTCTAGATCTGTACATGTATTTGTAATTTTTCTAGTTCATTATGTAGTTTTATTTCATTTTTCTTTTTGTTCTTAAAGGGGAAATAGTCAAATTTTTAAAATAAGAATATTTTTAAAATAATTTAAAAGTAGCTACTTTTTTCATTATATCAGGTAAATACAACTATATCAACCATACAACTGCTTTCCTAAACTATATACAAGTCTATTGAGTTACACGGTGAAAGATTTATTTCTTCCTGAAACCAGTTTGGAAATTCTCCCTCTGATCTATAGTCATAGCTTGGCTATCTGAGCTTGAATTCTGCAATGTGCTTTTTGATTCACTTATTCCTCAGTGTTGATGAAAATCCGTGGAGACATTACAGTTGTTGTGAGGTAGCTTTTCAAATGATCCTCTTGTTTTGTTTCCTTGGAATTGCTGAAGCTGCTTGGCTCATTTTGGCTTTGACTGGTCACTCAATTGCAAGCCTCCACCACACTGAGCTATCTAGGCAGAGCTAATATATAGATACTAGCCCAAAGCTGCGATGCACTCATGTGTCTCCTCAGATGAATAGGGCAGTATTTGTCACTTACTGCATAATAAGCAGTGTTTCATTTTACATATTCATTGGCATTTCTTATTACGGTTTGCCTTCAGACTGATTACAGGGGCACTCCATGCACCATAAGCACTACAGATAACTGTTGTGGTAATGGTGATAGATGTCTGTGGGTGACGGTTTCACAAATTGAAGCTTTTCCCAGCACCCATAGCCCAGCTTTCTTCAGCCACACTTCTAATGTAGAAGGTGAAACCATTCTTCTACATGGTGATGTGTGATCCCATCTAACCTGGATGGCAGTGGTGTGCCGAAAGCACTGAGGACGTGTTAGGGACAGCAATTTACTAATCGTATCATAACCCCCACAATGAGCTGTAATATTTATTGTACTTAAAGTGCCGCCTTAATATCAGGAGGATTTTGTTTTAACATGGTGCTTCCTTGGGCTGTATATAATGCATGCAATGTAGAAAATACCCAAGGGGCATTATATGAAAATGACAAATGGCTACTTTTATAAAGTTACAAAAATATTCTTACCTAACAGATGACTGTCGCTGCTTAAAATTAGAAGCTGCCCCTTTTTAGTTAGTTGATGCCCAGTCTCACTGCTGTTTAGCAGAATCTCCTATTTTTGCAACTTGCAAAGGCTGAGAAGCTGCAGTTTAATGTATACTGTATGAGAAAAATCATCGGAAAATTGCTTTGTATGTGTGTACAATCTTCACCTTTTCTGTTCTGTTAATACAAGGTAGCACTTGGACTTAAATTTCCACTGGCTATCTTTTTATTAAAACTAGTGGGAAACCGAGCTATCAAATCCATTTCATTTCAGTGCCATGCTTTAAACAAAATGTAAAAACTAAAAAAAAAAACAGTCCTTTTAAATCCAGGCATTTTTGCATTGTGTGACAACTAAACTCTGGTGCTATTTGTAGGACTGAAGACTGCTGTTACAGGGTTTAATTAAACTATTCATGATGTTGAGCTTATATTTTGTTTATTGTGCCTGTAAATTGTGTTTCTAATTATCACTCAATGTCATGTATTCTTTTGTCTCTTTTGATTTTATTTTTATAGGTGTGTGTGTTTTAAACAACATATACCCAATCTGCTTACTGCTTGTATGGTATTGATATTATACTGAAGACAAAATTGTTATACAATTAGGCTTTATTTTATGTCCGGAAGAAAAATCTGACTGGCTAGATTTGTGACTTGTTAACTTTTGTCCCTGATTTTTGTAATTGTGGTAGTAAGTATTTGAATGTGTCATGCCATGATCTACATACATTTTTCTTAAACTTTTACAGAGAAATACCTCTGCAGGTCTAAAAAAACAAAGAAAAAATGTCTAAAGTGATTTAAATTCCAAATAAAATGTGTAGACACTGATATTTAAGTTAATCCCATATTGGAGAACAAGTCTGATTAAAGATAGTAAAGAGTATCTTTTTTTTTAAAAAAATGACATTTGAATATTGTGTATGTAAGGAGGTGTGTATGAACTATTAATTTGAAGTATAATAAATGGAAATATAATACACACAGAATAGTTAAACATAGAGAACACTGACACATAGTTACCTAAAGATATAAAGTACATAAATGACTTGGCGCAAACCTGTTTTTTCTTGTTTTCTACCTATTATTTTCCCTTGGATTGTTAGGGTATCCAATTAACAGAATCTGCTGCCATTTGAGTGAGCGCTGTATCTTTTGTTACATAAAGAGAACACACTGGGGCAGGAGTGGTGTCCTAACCCGGCTCCCGGTATCACCACAGGGCACATGAGGGAGCATGGTCAAGACAACATAGCTGAGACTCATGGTACATGCATAAGAGTAGGTTATTAAGAAGTCTTATTGCCTATCCTTCTATGTTGGCTTTCTTTGGTCAGAAGCAGCATTTGGTTATCTGCATGTCTTTTGTTTGGATAAGCCCAAAAAGGACTCCATGAGCAAGAGTAAACCAGAAGATGCCCTGAAAATACTTATATATGCACACAGAAGCTTTAATACACATATTTTAAATAATAGAGTTTTGCTTTAACTTTTTTTTCTGTCTAAATGTCATACATATACTAGTGAAATGGCAAGTAAAAAGCAAATTAGTGGTTGGAGTAAACATGTTAAAATATTGGAGAATCGGTTATGTCTGCCAGTTGCTAAAAGTGATTTTTGCCAAAGTATTTCCAAAGTGCAGCCATCATCTTGGGACGGAGTACAGGTTTAGTTTTTTTCAGATTTGTTTATTCTTTGTTCTAGTGTGTTTCTTTTTTTTTTTTTTTTTTAGTAAGAAGATCGGCAAGTCATTCTGCCTTGAACTCCTTTTATTCTGTTTTGGTCTTCGTATGTTGATATTGAACAGGTGTTTTGTTTTTTTCTTTCTTTCCTTGTGTATGAATTTGTATCATTTTATAGACGGTGATACAAGTTTTTGAGGAACAGTATCTTTTCATATTGGTCTATGTGCATGCAGGGAATGTATTTTCGCTCAGGTGCATGATTAAGGGTTCCCTCTTCTAATCTGCAAATTAAATGTCTAATATCACTCATACAACGTTTTCTTCATAGATGCAGCCTATTTAATAAACACCCTCAGCTGTTTTGATTAAACACGTTTTTCAACAACACACAACGGCCTTTTTTTTTTTTTTTTTTTAAACGGTAACAAACTATGCACACATTTCAACAATTTGTGGTCGCTTGGGACACCTTCAAAATAAAATAAACTAGTACAACGCCTGTTTTTAGTTGACCTTATTCCCTATTCTAACTTCTACTCCATAACCGCTTTACATTCAGCCCAAGATCTGTTTTTGGTTGTAACAAGCTACAGGTCCAATATGCGTCACTTATGAACACTGTACAACTGGTCTCTAAGGGGAGAAACATTATACACATTGCACACTGTCTGGGATGAACTGATAACCTGCTCAATGACTAATCTTGTCAGTAGGTGATTTATTGCCTGGAACAAAGCTCACTTTTTAGTCTTTTAAATGCCCATGGTACAGGCAGCCGTGTGGGTCCTCGGCAATTATAGCTCTGAAGTGAAGGATCATGGGAATTGCAGTTCAAAAACTATCTGCCCTTAACATTGGGTTGATAATGGAAGTGCTGCTTTATCAGGTTCGTATGGTTTTTTTTTGGTAGGTGTTAACAATAGAAAATAACTTTATAAAATAATTGGCTTGCTTACATCCCTTTAGGTAATTGTTCCGTGTGGTTCTATTCATTTCACCAATAAACAATGCAAAAAGTTCCAGGTTTGCCTTAAATTCCTAATGATACCCTACTTTTCTTTGCATAACTGGATTTCCCCCCCTTTATGTATGCGCTGTTATAAACCTTAACTCTAAGAGAAGTGCGCTTTTTTTTTTTTTTTTTTTTACACCAGCTTTGTTAGCCCTTCCAGTGTTGGTGGGTGATAAGCAGAATATTTCACGAGCGCTGTATTTGCACTCAGATGAAGGGGTTTTAATAACATTCTAGAAATAAACCTTTGTGTTTACAGTGATGTATATTCCTTTTTATAAAATGTTTTTATTCTTTGTTTACATCATAGAATTTGCTTTGGCGCTTTGAGTATCAGTGGAGTGTGAAATGTTTTCTCACTCCCCGGGCTCAGTTTATTTTATTTTCATCCTGTGCTACTGTTGTTAAGTCTCTGTAATGATGGTGCAGGTCATTTACTGTGACGTGTTTACTAAATAAATAATAATTTCCCAGTTTTTCGTTGTCCTGTTTTCAACTTCTTGCAAAAAACACACAACTGATAAGACAAACATTAGAATAAAGAACACGGACCTATGTCAATCAAGGATGGCAACATTAGCAAGCCTGACTGCATGTTTAGTCCATAGGAATGAATGTTAATTGCTGGTGCACAGGTAACACTTTTTCAGTTGACTCAATCTGGAATGTAGTGATTGTACGGCTCCGGTAGCAATGGGTGCCATTTATTCTTGCTATAAAAAGTGCATAACCAATAGTGAGCTTACATCTCTATATTCGCACTGCAGACACTGACTAAATGAAAGGAATGTCACTTGGAGTAATACTGTACTTATTTAAAAAAGAAAAAAAAATCTTGCAAACATATTTTATGCACTGATTATTAGCAAACCTGTATGGAGCAGGTGAGTTAATGTGTTGTATAGAGCTTCCAGCTGTGCCATCTGTGTCACAGAATATGTCAATTCTCTGGAAATGTAATTATTGAATAAAACATTGGAAATCTCCTATAGCTTACCTTTTTCCGTTTTTTTTTTTAATCAACTGAAATAAGAATCCAGTTTAGTCCTGGACAGTCAGGGCACATGGTGCATTGGAGAAGGACGAGAATCACAAGTAAACACGGTTTTTCACCTCACTCTGCTGAAAGGGAGTCAAAATGTTTAGTCTAATTGCAAGGATAGAACAGTGGGTTTCTACACTTGGATTTCATTTTTCAGACGTCACAAACTTATTTGTTCAATAGTGGGGGATACGTAAGTAATAAATTAAAGAGTTTACAATTGTAAGACTGTATTGTAATATAATATGCAGAAAGATTTCAGCTCACTCTGTTCTACTTACTGAGTACAGGGAGTGCAGAATTATTAGGCAAGTTGTATTTTTGAGGATGAATTTTATTATTGAACAACAACCATGTTCTCAATGAACCCAAAAAACTCATTAATATCAAAGCTGAATATTTTTGGAAGTAGTTTTTAGTTTGTTTTTAGTTTTAGCTATGTTAGGAGGATATCTGTGTGTGCAGGTGACTATTACTGTGCATGATTATTAAGCAACTTAACAAAACACAAATATATACCCATTTCAATTATTTATTATTACCAGTGAAACCAATATAACATCTCAACATTCACAAATATACATTTCTGACATTCAAAAACAAATCAGTGACCAATATAGCCACCTTTCTTTGCAAGGACACTCAAAAGCCTGCCATCCATGGATTCTGTCAGTGTTTTGATCTGTTCACCATCAACATTGCGTGCAGCAGCAACCACAGCCTCCCAGACACTGTTCAGAGAGGTGTACTGTTTTCCCTCCTTGTAAATCTCACATTTCATGATGGACCACAGGTTCTCAATGGGGTTCAGATCAGGTGAACAATGAGGCCATGTCATTTTTCTTCTTTTATACCCTTTCTTGCCAGCCACGCTGTGAAGTACTTGGACGCGTGTGATGGAGCATTGTCCTGCATGAAAATCATGTTTTTCTTGAAGGATGCAGACTTCTTCCTCTACCACTGCTTGAAGAAGGTGTCTTCCAGGAACTGGCAGTAGGACTGGGAGTTGGGCTTGACTCCATCCTCAACCCGAAAAGGCCCCACAAGCTCATCTTTGATGATACCAGCCCAAACCAGTACTCCACCTCCACCTTGCTGGCGTCTGAGTCGGACTGGAGCTCTCTGCCCTTTACCAATCCAGCCACGGGCCCATCCATCTGGCCCATCAAGACTCACTCTCATTTCATCAGTCCATAAAACCTTAGAAAAATCAGTCTTGAGATATTTCTTGGCCCAGTCTTGACGTTTCAGCTTGTGTGTCTTGTTCAGTGGTGGTCGTCTTTCAGCCTTTCTTACCTTGGCCATGTCTCTGAGTATTGCACACCTTGTGCTTTTGGGCACTCCAGTGATGTTGCAGCTCTGAAATATGGCCAAACTGGTGGCAAGTGGCATCGTGGCAGCTGCACGCTTGACTTTTCTCAGTTCATGGGCAGTTATTTTGCGCCTTGGTTTTTCCACACGCTTCTTGCGACCCTGTTGACTATTTTGAATGAAACGCTTGATTGTTCGATGATCACGCTTCAGAAGCTTTGCAATTTTAAGAGTGCTGCATCCCTCTGCAAGATATCTCACTATTTTTGACTTTTCTGAGCCTGTCAAGTCCTTCTTTTGACCCATTTTGCCAAAGGAAAGGAAGTTGCCTAATAATTATGCACACCTGATATAGGGTGTTGATGTCATTAGACCACACCCCTTCTCATTACAGAGATGCACATCACCTAATATGCTTAATTGGTAGTAGGCTTTCGAGCCTATACAGCTTGGAGTAAGACAACATGCATAAAGAGGATGATGTGGTCAAAATACTCATTTGCCTAATAATTCTGCACTCCCTGTAAACCCAGATGCCTAGTTATTGTTTTCATATTTGAAACAGAAATTAACATGAACCTTCAATGGCCCACTCACTAAACTGAGAATTGTCAAGGCAAAAAAAGCTGAACTGTAGTAATTCTCTGAATGTAAACACACATTCTGTTATCTTACTTTGATACGGATCATACCAAAAAACAACCTAATAAATTAATTTATATGGTAAACCTCTGTCTGTTTTTTAAATGACAAACCTAATGTGTATTCACAGTGCTTGCATAAAGTGAATGCGAAAACAGAAAAAAAGAACAAAATATATATATTTTTTATTATACATCAATTTCTGCATGTGTATAAAAATATAACCAGTACAAAGAATTATAAAGTATTGCATAGGTTTCCTCCTGGGTTTTTTTTTTTTTTTTTTTTCCGGAAGGTTTTTTTCCTCCAGACAGTTTTAGAACTACTGTAGTTCAATCAAATCACCTTGGATGCCAAGTCAACACACACGAGGAGCCCTTCATATTGCTTGGGCGAGAACAATTTCCTCTCTTTTTACTAATGCTCCTTCTCTGCAGCACGCACATAGACTAAAGAAGAAAGTAGAAGCAGCTCTGGAGGTTTGTTTAATAAGATTAAGTTGACGTTCCTAAGGCCGTCGTAATGCATCCAATAGCCATCAATCTGGAAGGCTGCGGAGTAATGGTGTTCATCTTTATTGAACAGTGTGGCACCTTCCAACAAATACCTGAAAGGAGAAGGGGTGGACAGCACTGTTACCATCGTGACTAGGGATTTACCATCTTACATTCAGCCATCTGATGTGCCTCTATTTAGTATATAGAAAATGCCCAGCTCAAACTAGACAGGGCTTGCCATTAAACAAACTCATCCACCAACCACTAAGACACATAATGGTGTGTAAATAAAGATTTTAATTCTGTTAATTTCCCCTTCTCAATCCTCACATTTTCTCCAGGAAGTGTCCTGTGCTTACAATAGCAGTGGTGTGTAAATCTGTGCTTTATAGGCATTAGAGGGACTTCGAGAGTTGCAGTGACATTAACAGCTTTCTTCTGTGAATGACAGTCATTATGTTATGTACAGAAGTGTCATTGGAGCAAATGGTAAAAACAGCAAGATGGGATTCATTTTAATGAATTATTAAATTGAATGGGGGAAAGAAAATAAAACAATCTTGCCCAATCAAGTTATTGTAGCTTTCCTGCACATATTGCCTGACACGCCTGTTTAAAGGAGTTATATTCTACTTGAGATGGTGTAAAGTGCAGGATGTGACTATATCAGCTCTGCACCCTAGTGGTTATAAACACAGGGAAACCTGTTGGCTAGTATGCAACAGTACCAATCTTACATCAGTCTTAGACTTTGTTGCTTTTTCTTCTTTGATAAGAAAAGTCACCATCGGGTTTTGTTTTTTCAGATAGTAATTCATGATTCCTCCTCTATTTATCCTTTTCTTTTAAGTAACATGAGTCCTGTACATAGAAACTAATAACATTTATTTTCTTACTTATGTCCACTCTTATATCTATCAGAATCTGAGTGCACCTGGACACACTGATATACCTTGGGTAGCATAAGATTCTATCTTTACACCCTGCAGACAATTTGCCAACAGATAATTAATGAAACGTTATTTGGCATTTTGCTACTGGGATGCTATCTGCATAGTAGCAAAGACGGCACCTACGGGTGGTGATCTTCAGATAACTAGATCTTTTAATGAATACACTATGGGGAAATTATGCCAACACAATGTATACATTATATTAATATTTACACAATTTGTAAATAACATGTTTACAAAATATCATAGAAATAAAAAGCACACAGTGAAAAGCGTTCTATAGTTTATTTCTTTTGAACTGACACACATTATTTTATAATATAGAACCCTCTTTTTAGAGGATATTTTATATTTGCCAATATGGGTAAACGTTGACATTGCAGTTGTGGGTCCTACAGATTCATGTGGAACACTGCCCAGAACGACAAGCAATAAAAGGTTTTAAAGTAATCCACAGGTTTCTGTTCCCTAAAAGAGCATCTTGGCATCACAGACTGGCTGGCAACTGTCATCAAATGTTCTCTGCTCGTTATTATTTTTTTAATCAGTAAGGGAGGGTTGAAATGCCAAGATCACATCCCCAAACTAAAACACAGGCAGATACTCTCTAACAGATAAACCTGAGAATATTGTTGTATACAGGAATTTTACGGTGAGTGCTGATTTCAAGTTGTGACTCAATCACCTGCCCATTATACTTACTTCTGCTCTGATAGATCCAAATAATAGGGTACGTAAGCCAACTCTTCGGACTTCCACTGCTCCATGTTTAATATAACAAAGGGAGGGGGCCCGTGGCAGAAAATTCGAGCAGAGTACTCCCTCAAGCATCCACACCTACGAGAGAGAGATGCTTTACATGCATGCACAGCACATCCACTCCAATCAACTAAGTGTTGTTTGGGGCCTGAATCACCTACCCGACCTCTTCACACAGTTCAAACTTGGAGCAGAAGAGCTCATCCACTGCCATCTGAATCAGGTCCCCGTGGGGTATTTCGTGAGGAGGGCTGAAAATTAAAGTTATACAAGATTAATGTGGCTGTTCATTAAACCTTGCTGCATTGGGGGTTGTGTTTCTTTTACCTCAATCTGGTTTCTGGTTGCAATGTTATCAAATGATATTGAAGAGAAACATATACAGACAAACATTAGGCCAAAATAGCGAAGTTAGAAACCTAGCTGACGTGGAGAATTCCTTCTCCTTTCAGGTATTTGTTGGCAACTTAGATTTTTCTTTAACATTTTTATGAATTAAAAAGCAACAATAAAAACATACACTGTATTTACACTGTAATATTTGGGAGCTGCTCTACGAACACTCACTTGATAAGGACTGTCTGCATGTGTTTCTCCTGAAAACGAGTGGGACATTGCGAGTTTGAACAGTAGCTCTCTTGAATTGTGGCCATCAGATGCTCGAGATTTCTAGTAAAGTTCTCGTGCTCGTTCCCAAACAAGTCAATTTCTAAGGACGCTTTGTGAATTCCAGATCTGTATTGGCGTTTCTCCATCTTGTCCCAAATCCACAGCAGCTTGACAGATGTAAAATTGTAGGAGTCCATCAACTGAAGGAAACAGTCCACAAACTCACGGCCAAGGTAGTGGGACAGTTCTCTGGGGAAGTTCTCATTTTCCCGTAAAATGACATAGAGCAGCATCAGAAATCCATCTATTGTGCATGTGTTTTTCAGCTTTATCTCAACATATAGCGGTGTGCACGAGACCGCTTTACGCCCGGCTTTTATAGTGAAAACCCCTCCCCAAGGCAGCACAGGTCTCCAAAACGAGCGGTCATGATCAGCATTGTTTTTAATTGAAGCCTTGATTTCTTCAAACAATGTCTTCATCCTGAGAAAGCCAACAGGGATTATTAGTGGCAAACTCAAAATGTTAGGTTAAATTGGGCCCTTTCATGATACATATCAATGAAAAAAACATAATAAAATCATCCACAGAGGATTACATCAGTACCAGAATTACTACTAAATATACAGAGATTCTGTTAATATAATAAAACTTGTGCTACCTTCCTTCAATGGTCGATAAATCATCAGGATGGCCCTCTATACCATGAACATTAAAGGACCACTCTAGGCACCCAGACCACTTCAGCTTAATGAAGTGGTCTGGGTGCCAGGTCCCTCTAGGATTAACCCATTTTTTTAATAAACATAGCAGTTTCAGAGAAACTGCTATGTTTATAAATGGGTTAATCCAGCCTCTAAAGCCTCTAGTGGCTGTCTCATTGACAGCCGCTAGAGGCGTTTGCGTGCTTCTCACTGTGAATGCTTTCCTATGAGACTGGCTGAATGCGCGCGCAGCTCCGGCCGTGCATGCGCATTCAGCCGAGGAGGCGGAGAGGAGGAGGAGAGCTCCCCACCCGGTGCTGGAAAAAGGTAATATTTAACCCATTCCTCGCCATCCAGCCCGGCGGGAGTGGGACCCTGAGGGTGAGGGCACTATAGTGGTCCTTTAAGGTCTATGCCAACAAATGACTGACAAGAGGGAGTAGGTGAACCATCCTACATGGGGTTCTCTTGCAATCCATCACGGATATAATTCAAGTCACTGATACTGTAATAATCTGCCATTTACCTATTATACCCCCTCGCTGATACCGTAAAAATCTGCTATTTACCTATTATACCCCCTCACTGACACCGTAATAATCTGCCATTTACCTATTATACCCCCTCGCTAACACCGTAATAATCTGCCATTTACCTATTATACCCCTTCGCTAACACCGTAATAATCTGCCATTTAGTTATTATACCCCCTCGCTAACACCGTAATAAACTGCCATTTAGTTATTATAACCCCTTGCTGACACTGTAATAATCTACGATTTACCTATTATACCCCATCGCTGACACCATAATAATCTGCCATTTACCTATTATACCCCCTGGCTGACATCGTAATAATCTGCCATTTAGTTATTATACCCCCTCGCTGACACTGAAATAATCTATGATTTACTTATTATACCCCTTCGCTGACACCGTAATAATCTGCACATTTACCTATTATACCCATCGCTGACACCGTAATAATCAGTCTATTTACCTATTATACTCCTCGCTGACAACGTAATAATCCAACATTTACCTATTATACTCCCTCGTTGACACCGTAATAATCTGCCATTTACCTATTATACCCCCTCGCTAATACCGTAATAATCTGCCATTTACCTATTATACCCCTTCGCTAACACCGTAATAATCTGCCATTTAGTTATTATACCCCCTCGCAGACACCATAATAATCTGCCATTAAGTTATTATACCCCCTCGCTGACACTGTAATAATATGCCATTTAGTTATTATACCCACTCGCTGACACTGTAATAATCTATGATTTACCTATTATACCCCATCCCTGACACCATAATAATCAGTCCATTTACCTATTATACTCCTCGCTGACAATATAGTAATCCAACATTTACCTATTATACCCCCTCGCTGACACGGTAATAATCTGCACATTTACCTATTATACTCCTCGCTGACAACGTAATAATCCAACATTTACCTATTATACCCCTTCACTGACACCATAATAATATGCCATTTACCTACACCCTCACTGACTGTAATAATCTGCTATTTACCTATTATACTCCTCGCTGACACAGTAATAATCTGCCATTTACCTATTATACCCTCTCGCTGACACTGCAATAATCTGTCATTTACCTATTATACCCCCTCGCTGACACTGTTATAATCTGCCATTTGCCTATTATACCCCCTCGCTGACACCATAATAATCTGCCATTTACGTATTATACCCCCTGGCTGACATCGTAATAATCTGCCATTTAGTTATTATACCCCTTCACTGACACCGTAATTATCTGCACATTTACCTATTATACCCATCGCTGAAACCGTAATAATCAGTCTATTTACCTATTATACTCCTCGCTGACAACGTAATAATCCAACATTTACCTATTATACTCCCTCGCTGACACTGTAATAATCTGCCATTTATCTGTTAAACCCCCTCGCAGACACCATAATAATCTGCTATTTAGTTATTATACTCCCTCGCTGACACTGTAATAATCTGCCATTTATCTGTTATACCCCCTCGCAGCCACCATAATAATCTGCTATTTAATTATACACCCTCGCTGACACCGTAATAATCTGCCATTTACATATAATATCCCCTCACTGACAACGTAATAATCTGCCATTTACCTATTATACCCCTCGCTGACACCGTAATAATCTTCCATTTATCTATTATACCCCTCGCTGTCACCATAATAATCCAACATTTACCTATTATACCCCTTTGCTGACACAGTAATAATCTGCCATTTACCTATTATACCCCCTCGCTGACACTGTAATAATCTGCCATTTACCTATTATACCTCCTCGCTGACACCGCAATAATCAACCTTTTACCTATTATACCCTCTCGCTGACACTGTAATAACCTAACATTTACCTACTATACCCCTTGCTGACACAGTAATAATCCCCCTAGTTGCTCTGACTGTGGCCCCTTAGTTGCTCTGCCTGTGGCCCCCTAGTTGTTCTGACTGTGGCCCCCTAGTTGCTCTTACTGTGGCCCCCTAGTTGCTCTGACTGTGGCCCCTGGTTGCTCTGACTGTGGCCCCTGGTTGCTCTGACTGTGGCCCCTGGTTTCTCTTGCTGTGGCCCCTGGTTTCTCTGGCTGTGGCCCCTGGTTGCTCTGACTGTGGCCCCTGGTTGCTCTGGCTGTGGCCCCCTAGTTGCTCTGACTGTGGCCCCTGGTTGCTCTGACTGTGGCCCCTAGTTGCTCTGGCCCCTGGTTGCTCAGGCTGTGGCCCCTGGTTGCTCTGACTGTGGCCCCCTAGTTGCTCTGACTGTGACCCCTAGTTGCTCTGACTGTGGCCACCTAGTTGCTCTGACTGTGGCCCCTGGTTTCTCTGACTGTGGCCCCTGTTGCTCTGACTGTGGCCCCTGGTTTCTCTGGCTGTGGCCCCTGGTTGCTCTGACTGTGGCCCCTGGTTTCTCTGGCTGGGGCCCCTAGTTGCTCTGACTGTGGCCCATGGTTTCTCTGGCTGTGGCCCCTGGTTGCTCTGACTGTGGCCCATGGTTTCTCTGGCTGTGGCCCCTGGTTGCTCTGACTGTGGCCCCTGGTTGCTCAGGCTGTGGCTCCTGGTTGCTCTGACTGTGGCCCCTGGTTGCTCAGGCTGTGGCTCCTGGTTGCTCTGGCCCCTGGTTGCTCTGGCTGTGGCCCCAGGTTGCTCTGACTGTGGCCCTATAGGGGCCCCTGGGAGCCAGGCTCCGCTCTTGTTATGACAGCTGTAGGGGGAGGAGCTCCAGGTTCTGGCTGTGGCCCCCTGGGGCCCCGAGGCTCCTCCCCTCCCGCCGGTCCTCACCCGGTCCCCTCGCCGTGTCTCAGCCGTGGATCCCGTGCGGAGGGCCCCGGGGGGCGTGTCCACCGAGCACCGACATCAACCCGTCCGCCTCGCTCGGCTCCGGGGGCGGCTCCCACAGCGCAGCGTCAACAAAGGGTGCGTCACCACGCTCTGCGTCAGCGTTCCACCGTGACACGCACGCACGCCGTCATTACGCTGAAAACGTTGCGTGAGGCGGAGAATTCGCGCGTGGCTGACGCTGAGCGGAGGAGACACGGCTGGAGGATCCCGGGGGTCAAGAGCGGCCAACACTGCCGGTAACGGAGGGAGGGGGGACCGAGAGCACTGCCGGTAACGGAGGGAGGGGGGGGGAGAGCACTGCCGGTAACGGAGGGAGGGGGACCGAGAGCACTGCCGGTAACGGAGGGAGGGGGACCGAGAGCACTGCCGGTAACGGAGGGAGGGGGACCGAGAGCACTGCCGGTAACGGAGGGAGGGGGACCGAGAGCACTGCCGGTAACGGAGGGAGGGGGACCGAGAGCACTGCCGGTAACGG